TTTATTTCTTTGATTTATTTCTTTGATCACCCTTGCTCTCCTTTCAACAATTTCCTTTAGTGCCTAGATGGAAAAACCCTGAACTAGAAAAAAGTTGAATCAAACTCTAATTCATTAAAGAGCATTACACTATTGGTAGACAAGGGATTTATTCCATAACTATATACTCTCAATATTATTTCCCTATCTCCTCTATTGTGGATTTATTTCATTTTGTCTATATAGCTGCTTCTTAGGAATCAGAAGAAATCCAGGAAAATTACCAGGCATAGTAAATGTTTCCCTCCAGTGTTTCTTTCAAATAACACTATACCTCTTCATGGGTAGCGTAAGTACCTATAACAGAGTATTTTCAGTTTTTCCTTCTTGCCACTTAAAATATCACTGTCATTCATTTCACTTATCTATAAGCTATAATCACAAAATACATTGTTGCTGTTGTTATTTTGAACAAACTGTTATTCGTTAGACCAGTTAAGAATAAGCAAAATAAAATATTTTATCTTCATTTCTTTCTTCTCTAACACTTCTTTATGTTGATCCAAATTTCTGACCTGTATCATTCTTCTCTCTAAAATATCTTTTAACATTTCTCATAAGGCAAATCTACTGACAAAAAATTTACTCGATTTCTGTTTGTCTGAGAAAATCTTTATCTCTCCTTTAATTCTGAAGGATAACTTCCTAGGATACAGAAGGCTGTAGGTTGGTGGGATTTTTTTCTTTCAACACTGAGTATCTCACTCTACTTTCTTCTTGCTTGCATGGTTTCTAAGAGAAATCTGATATAATTCTTATCTTTCTTCCTCTGTTGGTAAAGTCCCCCCACTTCCTGCCCCCTACCCCAGCTTCTTCCAAGAATTTCTCTTTGGCTAAGTTTAGTATTTCGGTATTTATCATGCTTGATGTTCTCTGTACTTCCTGGATCTATTATTTTGTGTCTGTCATTAATTTTGGAAAATCCTTAGCCATTATTACTTCAGTTTCTCTGTTCCTGTCTCTTTTCTCCTTCTTGTATTCTTGTTATATATAAGTCACACACCTTTTGTAATTATCCCACAATTCTCTGATATTCTGTTCTGTCTTTTCATTCTTTTTTTTTCTCTTTGCATTTAAGTTTTGGAAGTTTTTATTGACTTATCTTTCAAGCTCACTGTTTTTTTCCTTTGCTGCGTCCAGTCTACTGATGAACTCATCAAAGGCATTCTTCATTTTTGTTGCAGTAGTGTTCATCTAGCATTTCCTTTTGACTCCTTCTTAGAGTTTCCATGTTTTTGTTTATATTACCCATCTGTTTTTGTATGTTGTCCACTTTTGTCAATAAAGCCCTTAGCATATTAATCATTGTTGTTTTAAATTCCCAGTCTGATAATTCCAATATCTCTGCCATAGCTAAGGCAGGTTCTTATGCTTGGTTTTTCTCTTAAGACTGTAAAGTTTTTGTTTGTTTGTTTGTTTGTTTTTGCTTTTTAGCGTGTCTGTTAATTTTTTGTTGAAGGCCTAACATGGTGTAGCAGGTGAAAGGAACTGAGGTAGATAGGTCTTTAGTGTGAGATTTATGTTTATCTGGCTAGGAGTTAGGCTGTATTTACTGTTTGCTGTGTAGGAGAAGTTAGTTCTTCTTCTAAGTCTTGATTCAGCAATTAGAAAGGTTTTTAAAAATCTGAAACATTTATCTCCCTCAAAAGATATAGACAGGATGGGACAGAGAGGATAATTCATGTACATTTTTAAAGTACTGAAAGTTTTTAAAGTACTTTCAGTGGGCCAGAGAGTATCCTGTGAGTACAAAAAGAAACAAAGGTAGAATATCCAAATCATACTGTTGTAGGACTAGTCAGGTAACAGACAGGTAAATGATATTAAATTAGTGTATTAGATAATGATATTCAGCTATGTCTAGAGGAGTGCAGAGGTGGGACACTTTGCCCTACCTTGGAGCATTGGGGTGGCGCAGGGAAAGTTACCTGAATCAGTTGACATGTGATCTGTCTCTTGGAGGATGACTAGGGCTGAGAAGAACATTCTAAAGAGAGAGAATGCCTAAAAAATAGATGGTTGCCTTTTTTTCCTGCAGTCAGGAATTGGAGAGAAAGGCAAGTTAGACAAGTTAGATAGCATTTCTCCAACTCTTACTCGATATATGGTTTTATTATTTGGTTTTATATAGTGAAAATTTTAAAACATACACTTGCTAGGCCTATAATGTATGTCAAAACCAAATATAAGCAGTTTTTAAATTTTTGAATTATTTTGTTTTATCCTGTAGCGTGAACACTGAGAATTAACTATAATATTATATTTCATATTGATGTAAGATATGAATTGCCAAAATTTAATTCTCAAATTATGTCTCTTAAGTATTTTGCTTAGTGGTAGAATTTGTTTGGGCTGAGTTAAGTTTGATTGGTTTTGTTGTTACTTTAAGTGTAAGGATATTTTATGATTTCATGGATCATAGGAAATCTTCAGAAATGTTAAACCACTCTTTTTAGCTAATATCATTTAGTTAAGCTATTTCTCTTAAAGTAGCAGGGCATCATTTAACTTTATACATATGAACCTTATATTTTTAGTTTACTCTTTCAGGTCTATAATACCACTACCTTCTGGTGAAGGTCTAATGAACATAATTTTAATTATGTTGAAATATATTAATAGGAATACTCTTAGATTAATAACTAACAGATTATTTCCTAGTTCTAATATAATGCTGTAGGTTTTGAAATTACCATTACCAGCCAAAATAAAGCTGTTCTAGCATACATCTAATATACTGTTTTTAAAATGAAATGAATACGTATACATAGGAAAAAGAATTTTGAACTCCTTGAAGAAAGCAGGATAAAGAATCTATTTTAGATTACAGAATACTGCACCAAAGCAATTGACATCTTAATTTTCTAAAAAAAAAAAATCATTCTCTGGTTTTGTTTCATAAAATTTGACTATTAATTATCTTACTGCTAAAATTATTCTCTGAGATATTGTACATAGATGACTTAGGACATTTTGGGGAGTAGAAACACTCCTTAAAATGATCATTAATACCACCTATTAAATATTTGCTTTTATTCTAGATGTCCCTTTCTTCACTCTTTGCCTTCCTTAATAGAAATAGTGTATTCGTTTTCTACAGCAGCAATAGAATTACCATGAATTTAGTGGCTTAAAGCAACACCAGTTTATTATTTTACAGTTCTGTAGATCAGAAGTCTACTTTGAGCCCCCACGGACTACAATCAAGGTGTGGACAGGCTGTTTAGGCTCTAGGAGAGAATTTGTATATTGCTTATTTGGGTTGTTGGCAGAATTTAGCTTCTTGCAGTTGTAAGACTGAAGTCACCTTTTGTTACCTGACTGTAAACTGAAGTTTATCCCACCTTGTAGAAGTTACCACATTTCTTGGCTTGTGGTGTCCTTCCTCTGCCTTCAAAACTAGTAACAACCAATGGAGTCCTTCTCACCTTGCATCTCTCTGACACAAAAGTGGAAGATTCTTTTGTAATCTTATAGTTTTAAAAATTGATGTGATTAGATTGGGTCCACCCAAATAATCCAGGATAATCTCCCCATCTCAAGGTCCTTAACCTTAATCATATATTCAGGCTCTTTTACCATGTAACATAACACATTCACAGGTTCCG